TTTAAAAATTGACTCAAAACAGATCAAAGACCAAAATGTAAGATCTAAAAATATAAAATTTTTACAAACAAAATAATAAATAAGTAAATCTTCATCCCCTTAGATCAGGCAATGGTTTCTAAGATATGACACTGCAAAGTACAATCAGCAAACGAAAAATAAACTGGACTTTATAAAAATTAAAAACATTTTTGTTTCAATGAGCACTTATGGTGGTTTTGTTTGTGTGTCAACTTGGCTAGGCCTGGTTGAGTGGCTGGGCAGCTGGATGTAGTATTTCCCATGATGACACTGGTAATCAACTCCATGGTGGGATCTACTATGAGCAGCTGAGTAGCTGCCTTTGGGATGCGGTCTGCTTCCTGTATATAAGGAGAAGCCTTGGGAATAGTCTCTAGCCTACGGCACGTTGGACCCTGCATGTAGCCGTGTCGTTGCTCAGCAGCCTGCTATGCTCTGCCGACCCTGGGACTTACAATGGATTTAAGTTAATGGCCTGCCGTGTGGTTTGGTAACATTGGAACTGTGCCTTTTTACTTGTCAACCTGGGGGCTTCTCAGCCTCAGCAGCCAGCAGCTGTCTGAGTGTAGAAAAGCCTCTAGCTCCAGTGGCCCGGTAGCAGGAAGCAGAGCTGGACCCCAAGGATGAGGGGCTTTCACCCAGCCCCTAAAGCCAGGCACTTTGAACTTGGACTTAAAGCCTCCAAATTGTAAGAATAAACTCCTGTTTGTTAAGGCCATCCCATTTGTTGTATATTTCTTGTCAGAGTGGCACTAGGTAATCAGAACAGCACCCATCAAGATAGTGAAAAGACAAGTCAGAGGGATGAATGATAGTATCTGCAAACCATATACCTGATAAGGAACTTGTATTTAGGATAAATAAAAAAAACTCTTAAAAGTCAATAATAAAAAGACCAATAACTCAGTTTCAAAGTTGGCAAAATAACTGAGTAGGTATTTCTCCACAGAAGATATACAAATGGCCAATAAGCACATGAAAATACATTCAACATCATCAGTCATCATGGGAAAGCAAATCAAAACCACAATGAGATACCACTTCACACTCACTAGGATAACTATAATCAAGAAGACAGTAAATAACAAGTACTGATGAGGCTGTAGAGAAATTAGAACCCTCACACACTCCTGGTAGAAATAAAGAGTGGTGTAGCTTCTTTGAAAACAGTCCAGTAGATCCTCAAAAGGGTATCTAAATGGAGAGTTACCATATGACCCAGTGACTCCACTCCTAGGTCTATACCCAAGAGAAATGAAAATATACGTCCAAACAATTAAAGTTCATAGCAGCATTTTCCGTAATAGTTAAAAAGTGGCAACAGATGTTCATCAACTGAGGAATGGATAAATAAAATGTAGACTATCTATACAATGGAATATTACTCAACAATAAAAAGGAACAAAGCACTGATACATGTTGTAACATGGATGAGCCTTAAAAATACTTTATGTAAAAGAAGTCAGTCACAAAAGACCACATATTGTATGATTTCATTTATATGAACTGTCCAGAACTGGCAATTCTACAGAGACAGAAAGGAAATTAGGGATTATATAGGGCTGGTGGCAATGGGGAAAATACTGAGTGACTGCTAAAATATGCAGGTTTCTTTTTGAGGTGATAAAAATACTCTAAAACTGTGGTGATGGCTGCATAACTATGGGAATACACTGGAAGCCACTAAGTATATACTTTACATGGGCAAATTATATGGTATGCAAATTATATCTTAATAAAATAGTTAAAAAAGAAGAAACCAGAACTCCTGATTTACAATTCTGTTTATTTTAAAAATAAATTTATTAAATAAATATTAATTGTTCAGTATTTTTCCTTGAGAGTTTTCAATGAATGACCAATAAAATGAAATAATATGTAGACACACACTTGGAATTTAAAATGACATATAACTGAATTCTCATAATTAGTTTTAAATAACATTTAATAGTTAACAATCCTTTACATCTATCATCTCATGTGATTTTTTTCACAACTCTGTGAGATAGGTAAACTGTCAGAACAGGAAACTGAGGCTCAAAGAGGTAAGCTGACTTTCTCAAGGTAACACATAGTTCACTTACCCAGCAATTTTAACTGTAACTCTAGTATTCTAACTATGCCAAAAGGACAGATTCTCTCTCTTTTACTTCTTTTCTTGACTCATTTTTTTCCTAATATAACCCATCAGTTGCAGTTGAGTCGATGCTGACAGTGACCCCAGGTGTTTCAGAACAGAACTGCACTCTACAGGGTTCTCAATGGCTGTGACCTTTCAGAAGCACATCCCTGGGCCTTTCTTCCAAGGATGAAAAACCAAAACAAACTCACTGTCATTGAGTCGATTCCGACTCACAGCGATGCCCTTTGGGTTTCCAAGGCAGTAAATCTTTACAGAAGTAGACTGCCCAGTCTTCCTTCCATGGAGTGGCTGGTGGGTTTGAACCACCAACCTTCTGGTTAGCAGTCAAATGCCTTAGGCATTACGCCACCAGAGCTCCTTTCTTCCAAGGATAGAGACTTTTTCCTCCTCTCTTACTGACATATACAATATCAGAGGCAAAGGAGAAGTAGACATATAATCATTTTCTTAAGCTCTTATTTCTCAGGAAATTGAAAGTTTGGAGTAGGGTCATAAAACTATATTCACTGGCCAAAAAAAAAAACCTCACTGCCATCGAGTGGATTCTGACTCATATGAGGCTGTAAATCTTTATGGAAGTAGATTGTTCCATCTTCATTCCATAGAAGGGTTGGTGGGTTTGAATCACCAACCTCTTGTTAGCAGTCAAATGCCTTAGGCACAGTGCCAGTAGGGATAAATTTATAGCAATGTTTTGCCCAATTAACTCTATAGTTACTTGCATTTAGATAAACAAACTTAAGAGCAGAGAATCATTTTTAATGTCTATCCTACAGTCTATGTCTCTGTTAAAACTACATACAGTTTATAAGCCTCTGATGTATTCTGTTCAGCTATCAGGACAGTAATTACTTTTATTCCCTGTGGATTTCTGTATTAAGGGCTTTTGCCTAATCTAACAAATATTATGCCTGTAATCATTCATAATATGGCCTGAGAAGGCCTAAAACACTGTTTGCCACAGATGACAACTAACTCTAATGATGTGTAAACTTATTCCTTTGAAAGAAAGGTCAGCAAAAGGGGGAAAAGTAAATTAATCTTGAAAAACTGGACTATCTCCAAGAAGAGGCAAAGGGTGTTTCTGGAAAGATATCTATTTCTGGCAAACAATTTAAGGCACATCTCTATAGTTCTGCTTATCTTTACAGCAGTATCCACATTAATTCTTCTTCTCTATGGCAGAGTGCGACAAACAGCTATCCCCTAAATTTCAGGAAGTAAAAAACTAAGAAGGATTAAGAGGTACAGGCAAAAAAAAAAATTAAATTTTTGAGTCAAACCTTAAATCTGTATTAGTACAAAGGACTCTTAACTAGAAGTTAGAAGACATGCATGTTGTTCTTGGTTCTGCTACTTACTTACTTGTATGATTTTGAGCAAATCATTTGTACCCCTTTTCCTTATCTTTCCAATATAGTTGATGCCTGTTATTTCCCAAGCTTACTACGAGGACGAAATTACACAGCCTCTATAAAACGGTAAAGTTCTATACACATGTACAATAATGCATGTATCTATGTGTGTGTATATATACATACACACATAGATACATACATATCTATATCTATATCTATCTATCTATATATATATACACACATATATACACTCTGCCAGTTTCTAATATTAGTTGTTTAACATTTGATGGCCTAATTCAACTGAATTCAACAGCAATTTCTGACACTATGGAGTGAAAGGTGAATAAAACATAGTCTCTGACTTCTAGGAATTCACAATTAAGAGATGAGACAAACATCAAAAATAAATACACACTAAAGGAATAAGAAGTAAAGTAATAGACATACATATACCACACACTCTGGGAGTCCAACAATGAAATAAACTAAACCTGCCTGAACAAGACAGGGCAAATGTCAGAGAGATAACAACTAGGCTTAAAGGAAGAGATGCAGTTGTTAGAATTCTACCAGACACGAGTTTCACAACAGATCACAAAGAATCACAAGATGTTTATGTTACAACTGGCTCTGCCTTCAATAGTTAGATCTATTCTAACTTCTCTGGCTGTCTTTTACCACAATTCTAAAATGAAGGGTTTAGACAGAGAGAACTCTTAAGTCCTTCTAGTTCCAAAATTACACGACTGTGGGAGTCAAACTGATAATTGTACAGATATAAAGAAACTCAAGACAGCAAGAAAATAAGTCAGAACTATTAAAAAATGAATTCTCCCATTAACTACCTTTTCTAGGACTTTAAAGTCTGAGAATGATTCTTAACCACCACCTAAAATTATTTCCAGCACAGTGAAGACTAAAAATTGGAATGATACCAAGAAGCCGAGAAGCAAGCAAATAATTCAAGACAGCAGAAAGTAAAGCATTTACTTCAGCAAAGATAGTATTTACATCCATGAAGGAAATGAGCAGTAGTTACAAAGTTACAATGTTTATATTCTTATTTATATTACATTTGTATTTACAAAGAAAAACTCAGAATAAAACCATAACAAGACATTCATATTTGTACTTTCATAATATTTGGGTTTTTACCTTGTTAATCCACTTCTTAAAAAACAAACAAATAAAACTATTTGTATAAAGAGATCATTTAGGTATTACCATTAAAAGGATGAAAAACTTAAGTATATACAACTCAATTAGTTCAGGACTTGTACCTAAGTCCTGTAAGGAAATGGATAAGGAAAAGGATTTTTTTCCTTGTAAGGAAAAGGATACTATCAGGTAGTTCAACAAACACTTATTTAAACTATGTACAAAAGCACTAGTTGCTGTGAAACACATAGTCTCAGTATTCAAGGGGTTCAATGACCTAGAACTAAGACTTTAAGGAAGAGAACAGTAGTAACTCTTACCCATCAATGATATTTTCAGGTGGGTGCTTTTCATCACTTGATGTAGCTAATACCACTTCAGCCCCTTCAGAGCTCAAACAGAGATCAACTTTTCTCATCTTAAAGCTTTTAACCTGCAAATAAGAAAAATAACAAAACAGCAACAATAATATTGTCTTGGTTCTCTGAACCTTCTCTGAGAAAAGAGAAAGGGAAAGTCGTTGCCTAGCATACAGTTAAACACTCAAGCTATTCAACAAGTGGGAGGGACTCTGACATGCTTATTTACAGAAGTAAACTTCTAACCTTCTCCAAGGATAATCTGTCAGATTTGACTATTTCCACCTACTCTGCTCCATAAAACAAGTCCCTGAGTAGCATAACTGACATCATTTTTCAGCTTTTAAAATTAAAAGTCCGTAATAATTCTATGGAAACAGTTAACAATCAAGAGTGATGTGAATTAGTGGGTAATTTAAAAAATGTATTTATAGTTGTTGTATTTCTGAAATTAACAAAAATCTGGAGGATAAAAACCAATGCTTTGTGAATTCTTATCCATAAATTTAAGGAGCTCTGGTGGCATAGTGACTAAGACAGCTGACTGCTGACCAGAAGGTTGGTGGTTCAAATCCATCAACCACTCTGTGGAAGGAAGACTGGGCAATCTACTTCCATAAAGATTTACTGCCTCAGAAATCGAAAGTGGGTCACTATGAGTTGGAATCGATTTGATGACAGCAAGTTTGGGTTTTTTTGGTGGTGCAGTGGTTAAGGCATTGGACTGCTAACCAAAAGGTCAGTGGTTTGAACCCACCAGCCACTATGTAGAAAAAAGAGGAGGCAGACTGTTTCCATAAAGGTTTACAGTCTTGGAAACCCAATGGGGTCTCTATGAGTCAGAATTGACTCAATGCCAGTAGGTTCGGTTTTGGATCCGTACATTTATCAACAGGATTGGCAAACAATGTTATTACACCTTATCATCATTTCCTTTCTTTCTTTTTGAGCAAGTGTGTGAAATGAGAAGAGAGCCTTGTACTTATTTTTCAAAGAAAAAAAAAGTAATTTGAATCATGGCTTTAAAGATAGTTCTATTGAAAGGTAGTATTTTAAGTTAAATAAAAGTGCCCTGAAAAGATATGGTTGAGGACCATGGAGAGTAGGGCAGAGGGAGGAGGAGATAAGATGTCATCAGATCACAGGCTCCCTTCTCACAGATTTGGTGGGATAGGGCACAGACCAGTATACAGATGCAAAGTGACGAGAAACACCGTATCTAAAGAGTTAGAGAATGGAGAGTATTTGCAAGAGGGAGGACTGCCTCTAATGGTACACAACATCCTTCATAACCTGGCCCCAATCTTTTTTTTCTTTTAAAAAAAAAAAAAAACAACTGTATTTCAAACAAACAAAAAAAGCACAATGAATATTATAAATATTAAACAACTATGTACCTATTGCCTAGATTAACAAATGTTAACGACTTTAGATTTTAAAAAAAGAAGTAGGTCACCCCTCAGTGAGCCTATTCCCTTACTTACCCAGCTATTCTGAAGTTGGTGAATGTCCCTCCTGACCACATTTCTGTATTTTTACCATAAAAAAAAAAAAACCAATTCACTGCCATCAAGTCGAATGTACTGTTCTTTTAAAACTTAGACGGTTTCAGAGTATACATTCTTTTGCTACTTGCTTTTTTCACTCAATAAGTTTTCAAGATTTTACCATGTTGATACTTGTAAATCTACTTTATTCATCTTAACTACTGTAAGGTATTTTTCTACTTTCCTATTGATGGGCAATAAGGTCAATTTCCATTTTTTTGCTATTATGAACAAGTTTGCTGTGCATATCTGTGTATGTATTCTTATGTACAAGTGGGAGAGTTTTTATAAAATTCTCTTTAGAGAAGTAAAACTATGGGGAGTTAGAATCTGAATAACTACAAGTCATTAATTAGTAAATTTGCTCTCTATAACACAATAATTTACACTTCTATCAGCAGTGTATGAGAGTTTCTGCTCCCCTCATATTCTCACCAACTTGATATTGTTAGGCATTTTAGCTTCAGCCAGTCTCATTGATGTGAAACGGTTATCTCAATAAAGTTTAATTTGTATGTCCATGATTACCAGTAAGGTTGAATAGCTTTTATTTGTATCCATATGAACGAATTCAGACCTTTTCTGTTATTTCTACCACCCATCTGTCAGTTTGTCATCCTATGGCAGCTTTCATGTTGCTATGATGCTGACAGCTGTGACATTGGTATTTCATACACCAACAGCATCACCCATGGTAGAAAAGTATCAGCAGAGCTTCTAGACCAAGACAGACTAGGAACAAAGCCCTCCTGATCTATCTCTGAAAATCAGCCAATGAAAACCTTATGGATCACAGAATGTTGTCCAAGACTTTGCCTCCCTACTTTGGATGTGACTCAGGAGGGATGGATCACTGGAGAAGGACATCATGTTTGCTAAAGTGGAGGGGGAGCGAAGACAAGGGAAACCCTCAAAGAAACAAAATGACACAACGACCACAATGGACTCAAATACACCAACGATCATGAGGATGGCACAGGACCGGGCAACATTTTGTTCAGTTGTACTTGGGATCACCATGAGCTGGAGCTCACTTGAAGGTAACTAACATCAACAATAACTTGTTATTTGCTGTTTCTTATTCTTTGTTGTATTTCTATTAAGTTGACTTTTTTTCTGTCTTTTACTTTTTGATTTCTAGGGATTTTTAAAATAAAACATTCTGGATACAAATTCTTTGTTACATGTGTTGCAACTATGTTCTCCCACTTGGAGGCTTAATTTATCTTTTAAAATGTATTTGATATTGTGCAAGAGGATAGCCAAAGGGCTAATAAACATGAAAAGCAATCAACCTCATCAGCAATAAGGAAAAGCAAATTAAAATTATGACGATATACTATTATTTACTCATTAAAATTGTTAAAAATGTAACAAAGATTGACAATACTGAGTGATGGCAGGGATGTTGTACAGTGGCACAAATCATGTCTAGAGCTCAAGGAATTTTCAAAGTAAACATGCCCAGGCCATCACTACCCAAATAAAGAAATACAGGTAGTCCTAGACTTACAATGGGGTTCCATTCCAACAACTCTGTCCTAAGTCAGTTCTGAGGTAAGTTGAATACCTCATTTTTTTTTAATTGCCTTTATTATCACTATCTTTATAAATCAATCTTTATTTGTCTTTAGGGGTTGGCATGAAAATGACAGCATCAGCAAAATACATGCTGTAACAATGTATGTAGTACATATTACTAAGAATAAGATGTACCCAAAAAAATGGATGGTGGTAAATGCAGTTTGTGGCAACTGGAATACATTGTCATGAGTAGGGGAGTAGGGGCCTACCTATAGGAAATTACCAGCCCTTAAGAAGCCCCTCTCATGCCTCCTACCAATCACTACTTTTCTCCCTTTCCCAAACATATCCATGGTCTTTATTTCTAACATTGTAGATTAATTTCATCCCAAGTTTATTTACATGGAATCATACGGTTCATACTCATTTGTATCTGGCTTCTTTCACTCATCATTATGTTTATGAGGTTTATCCGTGTTGCTGTATGTAGCAGTTCATGATTTCTATTGCTGTATGGCATTTATTATATGAATATATCACAATTCATTCCTCCATTCTATTGGTAATGGTTATTTGGGTTGCTTACAATTTAGGGAACTGAGAAATGATGCTATCATAAATATTCTTGTACATGTCTTTTGGTACACTGAAGCATGAATTTCTGTTGAGTATACATCTAGGAGGAAAATTACTGGGTTATAGTGAATGTATATGCTCAACATTTCAAAAATTGTTAACAATTTATACTTGGGCCAGCAATGTATGAGCTCTCACTGTACAACTTCCTCGTCAAAACTCAGTATCATCAATCTTTTTAACAATTTTAGCCAGTGAATAGTGGTATATCATCGTGATTTTAATTTGCAATTTGATTACTAACGAGGTTGTGGGCCTCTTCATGTTTGTTAACCATTTGGATATTTTTTGTGAAGTTCCTACTCAAATCTGTTGCCCTGTTTTCTATAGCTGTCTTTTTCTTACTGATTTGTAGTTCTTTACATTCTGCATATGAGCCTTTCGTTGTTGTATTGTTAATAGTTCCTCTATAGCTTACCTATGCATTCTCTTTGTTGTGACTTCTTTTTTTTCCTGTGGTGACTTTTGATGAAGAGTAATTTTTAATTTCAATATAGTCCAATTTATCAATTTTTTCCTTCATGATAAGTACTTTTTGTACTGGTAGCATAGTGCCTAAGCCACTTGACTGCTAACCAAAAGGCTGGCGGTTCAAACCCACCAGCCACTCCTCAGAAGGAAGGTTGGGCAATCTACTTCTGTAGTGATACCACTTCGGAAACCCAAGTAGGGGTTACTATGAGTCGAGTCTGACTTGATGGCACATAACAACAAAAAGTTGTGATGGTATTCTCTCTCCTAAATGCTTTAATGATTTAACTTTCACATTTGTCTCTAAGTTCTACCTGAAGCTAATATTATAATAGGGTATAAAGTTCGGTAAAGCCTTTTTTTAAAATATGAATATCCAATTGACTCCACTGTTCCACATTGCTACCTGTCTTAAATGAAATACCCATGTATACCCACTAATCTGTTTCTGTACTCTTATTTTGTTCCTACACTGTCATAATTATTGAGCTTTATACTAACTTTTGATATCTAACAGACTATTTTGTTCTTCTTCACAATTGTCTTGGCTATTCTTAGCCCTTTGTATTTCCATATAAATTTTAGAACCAACCAGGTTTTTTAGAAAAAAAGGAACAGGGTATCTACTATATCTGTAAATCAATTTGCATCTATAGAATACTGAATCTTTCATCGATGAACATGATACATCCCTCCATTGATCAAAATCTTCTTGAATTTCTCATAATGTTTAATGGATTTCTGCATAGAGGTCTTGCTTGCCTTCTGCTATATTTATTCCTAGGGAGCTCTGGTGGTGTCATGCCTAAGGCATTTGACTGCTAACCAGAAGGCTGGTGGTTCAAACCCACCAGCCACTCCTCGGAAGGTTGGGCAATCTACTCCCATAG